TGTAGGGGCTGGAGGGGATTACAGAGATAGGGAGGGGGTGTAGGGACTGGAGGGGGTTACAGAGATAGCGAGGGGGTGTAGGGGCTGGAGGGGGTTAAACAGATCTGGAATATATGGGAAGAAGGTGCCCGGGATGAACCAGGATATGGTTGTGTTCCCTCAGGTTCCCAGGCAGAAACACTGGATGAGGCCTTCCCCAGGAGCCAATGGGAAGAAGCCATTGAGAAATTCTGGACCTTCACCACTGATCTGGCCCAGTCCACCCATGGCCTGCTGAAACAAATTCAGACTGCTGAGCTGGACAAGCATCTCGAGTGAGTACACCATGTGTGGGTCAGCATCGCTGGGAGGGAATGGCCACAGTCTGAGGATGCACTCACACACCAACACAGACGTGCATTGTGATAGCGACTGATACCACCTCAGGATGGCCCAAGCATCTCCCATTGAATTGTCATAGCCTTCCAGCGCAGACAAGACACTTCAGCCCATTATTTCTGCACCATCCTGCTAACCTGAAGGTTGCGATATCGCAAAAGTCCATCCTAGACAATTTTAAAGTTTGTGAGGTTTTCTGAGCAAACAAAACCTCCCAGATATTGCCCTCCCAGAGATGCATTTTCCTCAAATCCCTCGAAACCTCCTGCTTTTCAGTTTAATATTCTGCTCCCTCATTATTGACCCTTCTCCTAAGGGGAACAGCTGCACACTGTCTATGCCCTTCATAATCTTATACCCCTCTATCAGGTCCCCCATCAACCTTCTCTGCTCCAAAAAAAAACCCGAGCTTACCCAGCCTCTCTTCATCGCTAAACTGCTCCATCCCAGTGAATCTCCCTCTGTACTTCCCTCCCCCCCAGTGCAATCTCATCCTTCCTATAGCACGGGAAGCAGAACTACACACAATTCTCCAGCTGTGGCCTCACCAAAGCCCCGTACAGCTCCAGCATCACCTCCCTGCTCTTAGAATCTATGCCTCTAAGGATAAAGCCTATTGTATGCTTTCTGAATCATATTATTACCCTGTTCAGCTATCAAAGACAGTTACCTCAAGATCCCTCTGTCCCTCTCAGGTTCCTGGTGTCCTGTCATTCATTCACAACTCCCAGGTCTTGTTTCTTCTTCCAAAGATCATCAACTAACACCTTACGGGTGAAATTCCAGGGTGAAAGTTGACTCACGGTTATGATGTAGGAAGCGAGGAAGCTAATTTATGCACAGCAAGCTCCCAATAACTGCAATGTTAAAATGGACTAAATCATGTCATGTCTGAAGGCCTTTGCTTGAGAGATACACATTGTCCACAGGACAATGAGCGAAAGGGAATGATCCTCGAAAACAGGTTGTCCGTACTCTGGTTGGGCATTCAGGATGTGAGCAAATGGAGAGAGTGGCAGCTGGGACATTGTGGGGGGCAGAGTGTGACTGTGAGGGAGGAGGAAGGTCCCATTGAGAGACCAAATACTGACCCTTCACTCATGGCAATGTCAGACATATCTCACAGTGCGGCGCTCCCGCAGCACTGACCCTCCGACAGTGCGGCGCTCCCTCAGCGCTGACCCTCCGACAGTGCCCACTCCCTCAGCACTGACCCTCCGACAGTGCGGCGCTCCCTCAGCACTGACCCCTCCGACAGTGCGGCGCTCCCTCAGCACTGACCCTCTGACAGTGCGGCGCTCCCTCAGCACCGACCTTCCGACAGTGCCCGCTCCCTCAGCACTGACCCTCCGACAGTGCACCTTTCCTTGACCTCTTACTCCCACTGTTTTGAGCTCCTCATTTCAACCGTTCATTTGCCCCACCCCACCCCACCCATGTCTTATAATCCAATAGTGGATCTTGGCACAGCTGTGCTTTCCCGGAAAATATTGAGTTATGAATTTGTTGAATTTGTCTGCCCTCATCTTATCCTCCAAAGCAAATATCGCAGTCTCGTATTCCTCAGGAGCGAACCTTGCTGTGTTCGCTGCTCTCTGTTTGGAACATCGGGAGAAACTCTCCCCATCTGTTGTTATATTTCTGGTTAGCTTTCTCACTCATTCTCCGCGGGTTCTTTGCTGTCTCCTGGGTGACCAGCTGCTCGGCAGTGGCGCGCTCTCCATCCTGCTGATGGAATCGGTGCTAATTCCTTGTTTTACTAACTCTCCCCAACCCCCTCCCCTCCCCGTTCCTGTGTTTCGCAGGACCCTGATCTCCGAGTGCATGGCCGAGCTGAACGCATCTGGAGCGGGCCTGCAAGCCCAGCTCGGTCCTTACACCGAACGCTTCAACGCTGACATGGAGGAGCTTTCAAACCGCCTGCACAGTGACCTGTTGGCTATTCGCTCCAACCTGCTGGTCTACCAGGAGGAGGCCAAACTGATGGTGAAGCAGAATGTGGAGGATGTGCGTCAAACCCTGGCGCTGTACCTGCGCAAATACCGCAAAAGGCTGAACCGGGACCAGGCTAGCATCCGCGCTAAATTCCACGAGTACGCTGAGGAGCTGAGAAACCGCAGAGAACGCACTCTCGACGACCTGAAAGCCATGGCAGCTCCTTACAGCAACGCAGCAGAAAGCAAGGTGGTGCAACACTTCCAAAAAATCCAACAGTCCCTGGCCCAGCAGGCCGAAGATGTCAGGTCAAAGGCCGAGGCCCTGCAGGAACACATGAGCAGCAATGCCGATGATATCCGCGAGGCCCTCCAGCACAAGATGGAGAGAATCAGCGCCTGGTTCAAGAAGGAGGCGCAGACCATCTCCCAACGCTTCTCTGAATTCTTCGAATACCTCCATCAGAAAATGAATCCATCCCAAAGTCCCGAGGAAGGCCCAGAGGAGCCTTAAAGATTCTCCCTTTCGTAATCCTTCCAGCTCCCCTGCCCCCTCTCCCTCATCTGCCAAACTCCCCGCTCGCCGCACTCACTGCGCACTCCCAGCTCACCGTGTTCTCCCTACTTACTCTGTCCTCCCTGTTCCCCCTCTCCCCAACTTCCCCTACTCTCCCCAACTTCTCCTACTCTCCCCAACTTCCCCCATTCTCCCTGTTCCCATTCTCCCCAACTTCCCCCACTCTCCCCAACTTCTCCTACTCTCTCCAACTTCTCCCATTCTCCTGGTTCCCACTCTCCCCAACTTCCCCCACTCTCCCCAACTTCCCCCATTCTCCCTACTCTCCCTACTCTCCCCACTCTCCCCGCTCTCCCCACTCATTCTGTTCTCCCAACTCAGAGCCCACCCCTGTCTGTCCCATTGTTCTGGCTGTCACTCCCATGTTATCCTCCCTGTACCACCTCACTTAGCCCCGAATCGACCGGGATGTGGCTTTGCTGAGGTCTCACCCCTGGGGTCTTTGGGTTTGTGGGTTCCTGCCCCTGATTTAGTTATGCTATAGCCAGTCTAATTCCAGACAGCCTGCTGCCTACAAACAGCTTCATACCTCCCGAGTGGAACCTCCTCCCCCCACCCCAAATCCTTTTTCTCTCTCTCTCCGTGTTAGCTACATTGTAAACACGGTGTGAGAGGCGTAACCCATCTTATTGCACATGACCCACATTGTAAACCTTTCGGGACAATTGCTTCCACGCTGCAGTGTGTTAAACATCATAAAAGTAATGGAAACACTTCCGTCTCTGCCTTATCCTCAGTGAGATTTCTGTTTGCATGTCTTTACAATGCCATAACTAAGAGTGAAACATTTCTGACCATACCTTGTAAACTGGGGAAATCTATCTGCAGCATTAATAACACAAAAACTAACTGAGGGGGGCCTCAAGCCTTTAAGCTGTAAAATCAAGGTGGTCACCTGGGGGAATGAGATAACTTTTTACCATGTGGGTTTTGTATATCGGTTCTGCGAAATCTTGCTGTAAAGTTACTTCTTAGCGAGGGGGGGGGGGGGGGCCTGGCGGGATCTCAATGTCGTTTAAGCTCATTTTAATTAACTCAAATTAAAATATCCCTCCCAGTGCTGACTGTGTCGCATTCTCTCTGCTCATATCGTATGTTCTGAACATGACAGCTTGTCTCTGAGACCACAGCTGGAGTACTGTGTGCGCAATTTGGGGTCTCCTTCTCTGAGGAAGGATGTTCTGGGGATGGAGGAAGGGCAGCGAAGGTTCACCAGACTGATTCCTGGGATGGCAGGTTCGATGTATGAAGAGAGACTGGATCGGTTAGGACCATATTCACGGGAGTGCAGAATAATGAGGATACAAACATATAAAACTATAACAGGACCAGTCAGGGTCAACACAGGAAGGATGGCGGCACGGTGGCTCAGTGGTTAGCACTGCTACCTCGCAACGCCAGGGACATGGGCTTGATTCCATCCTCGGGCAACTGTCTGTGTGGAGTTTGCACATTCTCCCCGTGTCTGCGTGGGTTTCCTCCCACAGTCTGAAGATGTGCAGGCTGGGTGGATTGGCTATGCTAGATTGCCTGTCATGCTCAGGGATGTGTAGATTAGGTCGGCTATAGCGGGGTGGGTCTAGGTTGGATGCTCTGAGGGTCGGTGTGGACTAGTTGGGCCGAAGGGCCTGTTTCCACACTGTAGGGATCCTATGATGTTCCCAATGACTGAGGGAGCCTAGAAGCAAGGGGGTCACACATTTAAGAATACCGGGGGTAGGACTGAGATGGGAGAAATGTCTTCGCCGTGAGAGTGGGGAGTCTGTGGGAATTCTCTGTCAGAGGCCAAAACATTGAATGTTTTTCAAGGAGGAGGTAGATTTAGTTCTGAGGGTTACAGCGATCACACGGTGTGGGAAAGGGGGGAATAGGGGACTGAGTTGGACTCCTGAAGAAATACCCAAAAAGTTGACGTCTCCTTTCCTCCATATGTTACCTGGCCTGCTGTCTGAATGACCGAATTGGGTGATCAGCTGTGATTTTACAGAATGGGCGCTGCATGCTGGAGGGGCCGAACGACCTTAACTGCTATTTCCTATGCTTCTGGCCGCTGTGTGTAAAGTGGGATTGGCATGGAAGACCACAAGCCCAGTGCAGGAGAAGGGTTTCCACAAATGAAGACTCTGGGAGCTAGAGCTGGGCAGGGAGTTACATATCCAGTGCCGAATCAGTACGATTCCAGTTATCCCACCACCTCAAAACTCTGGGTGAGGCTCCCCTTCTTAATTTGACACCCCCAGCCCCCTCACTTGGCCACAACTGTTTAAAAACAGCGTTCCCTATTTTATGAAATACTGCCTCCCAATCCAAACACATTTGTCTTTGAAAGCAGCGTCGTTTGCCAAAGGCATTGGGTTAAAGAAAGGGTAAGTTTACAAAGCTGCGAAACACACAAGAGGGAAGAAAAAGTACTTATTAAATACTTAGACATATTAAAACAGATTAGAGGTGGGAATTGCGTTAGAGTGACTCAGTAATCCATCCTGGATTGCTGTGATGGAGCAATATTCTGGCTGTAACGTTGGATGATCTGGATAATCTGAGATTAGTACTGATTTTGGGATTCATGCTTGTGCAATTGAGCTCACATCCCCTTTCTGTCAGCAACATCAACGGATTGTCTGGCACTTGGAGAGACAGAGAGAGAGAGAATAACAGCCCCCAGAGAGAGAGAGAGATTCTCTCCACATCCACACTGTCAAAACCCTTCAGAGTTTTGCATGTGCCATTAAATCTGTCCCCTTTTCTTACAGAATTCAGCGGGTGCAAGTTGAGACTCTTGTCAATAAAAAAATTGCCCTTTCAGGGTAAAACTTCACTGAACTGCCTCAAGTCATGTATACTGAGCCTCAAATGAGAGAACAGTACTGTTCACAGTCCACAAGTGCCTTGGCTAACTGAAGGAGAATCATTTCCTTCCATGAACCCCCTCGTGATAAACTATAACATTCTTTCAATTCAGCGAATTAATTGCAAAATCATCTTAACTGTCCCTGGTGCCAATTCATTCGTACGGATGAGGTTCCACCTCGACTCTGAGCAGTTGCAATGCGTCATCCTAACTTTCACAACATGCCCCTTGTCATCTGAATCTAAAATAAGCAAATTCTTCTCTTTAGGCTGTGAATGGCAAATTCCTCAGCCTCCCAAACACAGCTTCTGCTCTCTCTGTGTGACTCAGTGTGAGTTCTTTCATCTGTTTGTCGCATTCCGTCAGATCTTAAATTGAACGTCCAAGTAAATCATTACTGTTTTGCAATTTCGCCGATAAACAAAGTAACCTTTGTGTCGGTGTTGCAACAGGCTCCTTAAGTTTCTTGATACTTCCAATGGTTGCTACCCTCCACATAGGAGCATTATATCAAACCCAGCAACATGAGAGCCAGACACGTTAACCATACCCAGGGACTAGACTCACAGAGCACTTCACAACTGTGCATACACTTGCAATCTTCTGTCTCATTGTATCATTGCACACAAAGGTAGCATCTCTATAAACTGGTCAAAAACCCCATCACTGCAGTTCTGACAAATACACCCCTCGGGGCGGGTAAATGTTAGATACAGAGTAAAGCTCTCTCTACACTGTCCCCCCTCAAACACACCCAGCACAGGGTTAGATACAGAGTAAAGCTCTCTCTACACTGTCCCCCCTCAAACACACCCAGCACAGGGTTAGATACGGAGTAAAGCCCTCTCTACACTGTCCCCCATCAAACACACCCAGCACAGGGTTAGATACAGAGTAAAGCCCTCTCTACACTGTCCCCCATCAAACACTCCCAGGACAGGGACAGCACAGGGTTAGATATAGAGTAAAGCTCCCTCTACACTGTCCCCCTATCGAACACTCCCAGGACAGGGACAGCACAGGGTTAGATACAGAGTAAAGCTCCCTGTGTAGATCCCAACGGAGGGAATGTGAAATGACAGTTTGTGTGCAGTACTGGCCCTGAGTCTGTGCGGTGAAATGACTCTCGTGGAGACGGGTTGCACACCGTCTGTGGTTAGGTGTTGCCTCCCACTACACAATTACATTAAATTACAGACAATTATCCTCACACACATTGTACATATAGCAGCTTGCAGAGGTCCCAACCAGAAGACGTGTCTGGGTTAAACACTGACACTTTCCAGCCCCGCTCCCAGGTAAGTGCTCGCTCGGATTCTGAAAGCATTATTTCCCTGAAGGGGCTTCAGGAGACTGAATATTCCTGGTTACTTGAACAGAATAACATTGATCAATCATTCTCATTGTAATTATTATCTTTTAGACAATAGATGGCAGCCTTGTTTTATTGTTTACAATCTTGTTTCTCTTTGTCGAATTTCACTTCATTTTCTCCCTCAATTTCTCTCTTTCCCTTGTCTCCTTTGCTCTGTCTTTCTCTTCTCACATCTCTCTCTCTCTCTCCTTTTTTCTGTCTCTCTCTCTCTTTCCCTTTGCCTATTATTCTCTCACTTTCTTTACCACAGTCCCTCACTGTTTCTCTTTTCACACTCTCTCGTCTCACAGGGAGTCTCTCGGCTGTCCCTTCGTCTTATCCTCCTGGTCTCTATTTCTCTTTCCATCCGTCCTGATTTTATTTGTCTTTTTTCCCCGATCTCTCTTTCTTCTTTCTCCCTTCTCCTCCCTCACACCTTCCCCTTCTCCCTTCTCCTCCCTCACACCTTTCCCCCTCTCCCTTCTCCTCCCTCACACATTTCCCCCTCTCCCTTCTCCTCCCACACACCTTTCCCCCTCTCCCTTCTCCTCCCTCACCCCTTCCCCCATCCCTTCTCCTCCCTCACACCTTCTCTTTCTTCCTTCTCCTCCCTCACACCTTTCCCCCTCTCCCTTCTCCTCCCTCACACCTTCCCCTTCTCCCTTCTCCTCCCTCACTCCTTCCCCTTCTCCCTTCTCCTCCCTCACACCTTTCCCCCTCTCTCTTCTCCTCCTCACAC